CCCAAGGGCCTCGAAATGCCGAAAAAAGAGAGGAAAATTTGTAAAATAATCTTCAAATGTTATCAACTGCCAGTCATTTTATAAAATTCTACTTACAAAAGACTGATTCCCATTGACATTTATCCTTAAAAGGCTTTTCTGATGGAATTTTGTTTGCTGAAAACTTCGCAAAAACAGGTGTTGTGATTCAACAACTGATGTTGTGTGACATGATGACATAGCCCAGTTGTCAGTAGAAAGTCTCTCAGCCAATCAGGAATCACGCTTACCATACGGCTAAAGTATGGTACGGAACGAGCGCCATATTTACCCAATAAGCGATTAGACTTACGATACGGTAATTTGTTCTAGAATAAAATGCCGTATTTATCCAATCAAAAATTGTACTTACGATTGTACATACACTTGTCCAATCAAAATTCAACATTGAAATTGTCAACAAATCAGAATTGATAAGTACGATATGGTTACAATACGGTTACGGTACGGACGCGATTCCTCATCACCATTTCCCAGTCATACGAAATCGCCTCTATTATAAAACAAAGGACTATAAGGAACTGCTAATCTAATTGGTCTATTCTGCCCATGGAAGTTAAATGGATGTTTCTTAGTCCTGGAGCAAGTCAAAAGGAGGGAAGGTTATGTTGGTGCTTGTGATAATATCAATGACAATATATTCTTACTGTTTTGTAGCAAGGATCTCTGTCTAACGTTGGTTGATACTTCTCACACAAAACTGTAAACAAATCTATTGGTTTTTGCCTGGGAAAATACAAATATCATAAGGAACAAATAATTGAGAACATGGTTGATAATTGACCACTCTTGCCTACTTGGCATCTTCCCACTATCATCTGTAACGCAATCCATATCACATGGTAACGCAATCCATATCACATGTAACCACAATTGAATGAGGAAAGATGGTAAATTTGGGATAACATGGTGGCATGAAATGGTGATGGTAATCATTGTCACTGATTATCTCATTATATTAAAATATAACTCAAAACAAGAAATCAGTTTCCACTTAACACTAACCTTTGAATTGCTAACAAAAGAAGCCATACAAAATTTAACAAAGGTTTTGGAAAGGGAGGCTTTTTTCCTGTGAAGTCAGGGTGGAGGTTGGTGTACTCAAAGAACACAATACTTGCTGTTGTGGCATTTGGTAAACAGAGAAATCTAGCATTGAATTCAAACAACATTAGAAATTAGTATTCTTGTTTTACACATATGCACTGCATGTTCAGCTGAAACATTTGCTAAATCCATAACAAAGTTTGAGAAAATCTGAATAAATTACATTGGCTACTCTTCCCCTCCCCCCCAAGACATTCAATGTCTGCAATGAAAAACATGAGTATCACCTTTTGGTCCAAATGGATCTAACAGTACTTACTGTAAGACCGTTTGAGTAATGAACAAATCTTGCTCCCCTGGGTACCCTCTTGTTGTTGCAAATTCAATCAACATTTTAGCACACTGCAGTCCATCATGAGCATATAAAAAATGATATCGAGATTCACTATAATGTTTTTCTGAAGAAAAAAGAAATATTAGAACAATATATTATTATTACTATTATTATAATTATTATAATTGAAAAATCAAACATGATATTAAGTAGATTAGAGAAAACGATAATAGCTTGACGATCACCATTAACCATCAAATAAATTAAGGTTAGTATAAACTCAGCAGCCTTGACTAATATTACTTGGGATTGCTCACTATCTATCAGGAGGAGGGGGCTGGTGCAATTATGGGGTGATTCTGATACTTTTATGTAAACCTCATCCAATTATTCAGTAAAATATGTAAAAAGTGAGATGAGCCACCCTTTCAATAAATCATGTTATAGTTCCATCTGTATCATAGTATTACCTTGCCAGTAGGTTTTTGCAAAAACATGATGAAGTTCTGTATTACCATATTTCTGTGTAGGATCAACTTTCTTAGTCCAACTATAGCCAAAAATAAAGGAATGAATATATTTACAAAATCAATAGCACCAGTGATTATCATCTTATCACTATTGGTGACATTAATTATGTAATCATAAGGAAAGTAATGATTTACCCAAGGGCTTTCATAGCAAATTCTTGTCTGTCTGATACATCCACTGCATTATAAAGCTCAAAAATACTTTTTATCTTCTGTAGCTTATCATCATCAATGCCTTGATTGGACTCAGTAAAACAGTCTATCATTAGCATAGCCAGGTCATTACCACTCCCCGCCTGTAAATAATTTATACATACTTCAATATACCAATAACGAGGCAGTCATAAAGCTCTGATTCTGACCTGATTATGCTTTAAGAATAAACATGCTCCATTATATACTAATTCTATGGCATCTTTATACTTCTTTTGGGACATATACCTAAAATGACAGAAAAATTATCGTATTAATCTACTACATGTAGGTATATTCATGAATGCAGTTTCATGCATGCATGCAAATGGATGTCTGCAATAAGGTATGAGCATTTGCAATACTGAAGATGTTTTGATAATTAATGTTCTTTTTTGTCTGCAATTACAAATCAGCCAAACTCAAAATCTTCATAATAAGACCCTGACCCAATAGATTTATTTTCTGGATTTTTTAGGATTTTTTTGCCTGAACTGCCTTAAAAATTCAAAACAAAATTCTTGTCTTCTGCCACATGTATATGAAATCCTGATTTTAACTCAATACAGTGAGATCAATGATTGGAAAAATTACATATAGCATTATCATGAATATGTAAGTTATGCTATGTATGCTAGTAATTACTAAATATAAAGAAACACATTCCATTACAGCACCAATAGTTTAACAATAAAATATTGATGAATTTGAAGCCCTTTGCAAGCGATTGCAATCAATAGTTCATAAGAATTCAATACTAGTAGTAAACTTTACACAAAGATTGTTTGATATTTTGTAAGAAGATTTACCTTTTATTCGCAATAAAAGAAAAGTGCATTTAAGCATTTTTATATAGTGAAATAAACAATAAGTTATTTAGCGGAACTAAACTGTAAAATGCAGCTTGAGAGTTAGCTGATTCACAAAGTAAATATAAAAGCATGATTTGTCAATCAATAGTAGGAAAAACTTGCGATACAGAAAATTCATTATACTTGTGAAAACAAGGGAAGAATATACCAGCTTACTAGCTATTGTAGTTTAATATAACTTAAGCTTAACTTAGACACCAAGACAGTGACTGTCGCAAAATTATGTTGAGCATTCCAGATTTTACACTTTGCACAAGCAGTAAATAACTTAATCTTCACCAACCTGAAATATAGAGTTCGTATCATCTGATGGGATTCATAATAATTCCCTTCTTCTATTGATTTGTTTAACTTCTGTAAAACTCTCTGTGCTCCACTTCCACGACCAGCCGCCATCTTGAATGTATTTCCTCTTGAATATTACGAACTCTTACGAAGTTTTTCCGAATATCTTCCGAACAAGTACAAAACTGGTATTTACGAGTAAACGCTGGATAAAACTCAGTGTATTATTTTATGTGATTTGTATTTTTGTCTTTATGGACAGATTTCAATTCGATGTTTTTACTGCACAATTTGCGACATTTTTACGGAAATCTCCGAGCATTCAACGATTAGTACAAAGGCAAAGGAACGCCTGACGGCTATCTCCATTGTAAGATTTTCATGTCGTACGGAAAGCTMGTCACAAAAGACACTGGGCTTTATGCAGATACCGTAGAATGGTGTCCGCTAGAATCCTATCAAGATATTCTAGCTTGTGGAACTTATCAACTTATCGAAAATGATGCAAAACATCAGCATTCAGGTCGGCGAATAGGCGGACTGAAGTTCTACCGTATCACCGAGTCAGGATTGTGAGCATCTATTTAACTGAAAAGTTTTGAACATTTTATGATGTCAAGAGTGTGTCAATAACAGGAAGTACAACGTTAAGCCCGATGGTGGGGGGAATTTCGGGGTAAATTTGTACTTTTTTACCATATTTTCTGTCCATATTTTTTGTCTTTCATTTGAGCGCATGCGACACTTGATGGTGTTAAGGGACGGGCCATTTAACTTTTGAGGGGGGGGGGGGGGGGTTCTTGTGAGCAAGATTTTTTTTTCTTCGTGGCTTTTGGGTAGGATATATTTTTTTCTCTTGGTGGTGTGTAGGAATTTTTTTCTTGTATGTAACATTTTTTGAGGGTTTAGGTAGCCTCCTTCACAGGCAACTCTACTCCGTGGGATTCCTGTGTTAAGACAAAAAAGCTGCCGGAGGGGGAGGGGATAGTAAGGAAGGAAAAGCAATCTCTCGACACCAGTTCTTCTCGGTCAAGAATATGAACACAGGAAGACCAAGAAGAGAAAAATGTCCATTTCCGATGGAGTAGCCTGCGAAGGAGGCTAGGGCTTAGGGTGGTGCAAGATTTTTTTTCAGGTCCACATGTTGTGCACGATTTTTATTTTTGTTGAAGATGGCTTGCAGGATTTTTTTTTCAAAATCATCCACCCCCCACCCCCCCTCAAAAGTTAAATGGACCGTCCCTAAGTACAGTTTGCATGTCCTTTTATTGACACACTCTAATCAGCCAATCAGCATGTGTGTTAAAAAGTTAATAATAGAGTGCTTTTAGACAAACTGTAAAATAGTTAGTTTACTAAACAACTACTTAGGTAAGTCACATAAATTAGTAAAAGTGCACCAAAGCAAGCATCCAAAAAATCAGGGGGAGATGTTAGGTAGCTTTTTATTACAGAACTTATTGTTCTCCAAGCTTGAGTTAAACAGGCTTTAACAGTCAAATGATCTGGATCTGTTCTTTCTGAAGCTCTTATGAAATGTAAGCAAACCAGCATTTTAGCAATGCTATTCATAATTGGTTGTGTCGAGGCAGCGCATTTCATTTCAATTCTTCTTTAGTCAGCTACATACCCATTTTACATAGATTTGAAGTTTGTATGGAAAAAAATAAGTTTATGTGGAAAAAAATAAACTCTTGAGCCTTCTCCATCTAAAAATCCTAAAAACTTTTAAGTGTGAAGTCTTCCATGTTCTTGATGGTTGCTTTGGTGTGCCTTTACTAATTTATGTGACATCACCTATTACGTGATTAAAAGCATGCTGAGCTCTCCATATTTAATGGGCAGTAGTCAACTTGCTCATCTAAACAATGTACACTTTACTCAACTGACTTTTTTATTATAATAATATTATGATTATTGCCTATGCGTAGTGAGATTTACATCTCATGCATTTACAAACTTTACTTTTTTGTAATTTTTCTTTCTTTGAAAATCTGTCTGAGTGAGTGAAAGATTGAGTGATTAATTGATGTTACTCTCCGTGGTAAATATTCTTTTGCCACCTGCTTACTAACAGTTTAATGCCTATAGGGACTTACAAGAGATTTATGAAACGCAAACAGATGCAGGGATTCTAGATATGAAGTGGTGAGTAGTAGTTACAAACCATTTCACAATAATTTACAAATCATGTTATTTTTTTGTTGTAGGTATCCAACCACTATGAGTGATAGAGGAATCCTAGGTGCTGTAACTTCAGAATCAAAATTGAAAATTTGTTCATTTTTGTTTAAGGTGTGAAACAAGATTTTATTTTTTATATTATTTATTCATAATATATATTTTTAATTTATATTTAATATATTTATTTTTTAATACAATATATTATTCTGAAACAATCTTGAGTATACATTTGGTAGTATTGACGTAGATTCAACCAAAATGATATTTGTTGTTGTTTTATGGTTTAAATAGGAAGGAATCCAGGCATTGGAAGAAACCATTGTAAGCATAGGATCTGATAAAATATGTTTATCATTGGATTGGTCTGCTGCTAGTAGGTATGTGATTTTCCCTTACAACTTCACGCACTAAACAAGGCTGTATACATACCATAAGATCTGTCTAGTACATTTTTGATTGATGCAAGATATTATTATTTGGTAACTTATTGATAACTGAAATGATTATTTGGATGTTGTATTTAATTTTGATTAAAACTAAAAATGGCATATTAAGATTATAAATATATTAATGACAGTGAGCCCAAGTGTATTGTAAGCGACTCACATGGACAGTTAACACTACTGCAATGTCCTGAGGCATCATGGGGACCTATCTTACAGTGGACTGGACATGACTATGAAGCCTGGGTTTGTGCCTTTAACAAATGGATACCACACATCATTTATTCAGGTACTAAACACTTTGTCACCGTTTGTCTTTATAATGTGTATTTTAACATACAGTTTGTTTGTAAATATTGTTTAGGAGGGGATGATTGCAGATTAAAAGGGTGGGATACCAGATCAGATTGTGCACAGCCAATATTTTCAAGTAAAAAGTATGAATTTCTTTCATTGATTATAAATAATATTTAAATATAACACTTGAACTATTGCCAAAAAGATAATGTGATAGCTATGTACTTATTGTTGTGACATAGACATGAGATGGGTGTTAGCAGTATACAGTRTAATCCTGTTTACGAGCACATAATGGCTACTGGCAGGTAATGGTCTATTTCTATATTATAGTTATATGGCCTGGGTCACTTCTGGACCTGTTKTTCAGCTTTCTTGTACAAAGTCAACATGTATGTGGGATAAAATAACATAGTGGTCATAACTTGTGCTAAGAGAAGTCAGGCTATAACTATGTCTGTCATTTCCAAGACCAAAATTTAATGTGCTTGTGAAGCACATTTATTTACATTTTAGACAATATATAATTGATTCTTAGAAATGACACATGTTGGTGGCAAAACGTCAAGGCTAGTTGTCTTGATTTTTATCTCGAAATGTGTTTCAACTAAAACTTTAGTACTTAGAAAGTTGGTGTTATTTTTTTCCCCAATTTTACGCAACTTTCTATTTTTTTCGGGTTCTGGAGATAATACAGTCGAAGGCTTGAGAGCCTGGGACCTGTGAAGTCATCGTAGTAGCAGGTCTCAAGATTTATCTGGTGTATTGTATGTTTTCTGTGGAAAAAAGTTTTACGTAAGCTTTACTGAGAGTTCATATATACTGCATACTAACAGAAAGCTAAGAAAATCAAGTTTGGTGCATTTATCGTTTACTACCATGACATCAGGCATTTCTCAATACCAACTTGTATTATTACTCAGTGTGAATTACACAGGGAGCCCAAACTTCCATTATTTCCAAAGTTTGAGGCCCGGAAGAAAGAAAGAAAGAAAGAAAGAAAGATGTGTCAGGTTTGAAAGAAAATTACACAACACCCTAAGAAAAGATTTTTTTAGGGTTTAGCATTCATTAGGCAAGAATTTAAAAGAAATTAAAAGAGTTCTAACCAAAAAGAAAGAAAAGTAGGCACTCATCCAAAAATATAATCACACTAAACAGTCTTGTCATGTCTAGTTATGATGAAAAGATCCATGTGTGGGACACAAGAAACATGAATTCTSCATTATGTTCATCAAAGCCAGGTGGAGGGGTTTGGCGCATTAAATGGAACCCTCACACAGGGGATTACATCCTAACAGCATCAATGTACGATGGCTTTCACATACTCTGCTATGGTAGGTAAAACATATTCATCCAATGATAATATTTTTTGAGTTAATTATGATATTTTCTCTGCAGATGGCTCCAGAATTGATCTACTTGTATCTTTCAAAGAGGATTTTGAGTTGGCATATGGTGCTGATTGGTGTAGAAAACCTAAAGCAGAGACTCAAAACAATACATCTTTAGTTGCAACATGTTCTTTTTATGACCACATTCTTCACTTCTGGCAAGTGAATTACTGAACAAGAACACCAAACCCAACTAATATTAAAATAAATTATAATGCAAATGTAGCATAATTTCTGCAAGTGACTGTAAACATTATTTTTGTGTTTGTACTTTAGGTAATGTACTCTGACTAGTTAAAAAATTTTGAATTGTATTCCTCTTATTGACTCTTGATGTCATAAAATGTTCAAGATTCAAGTGGATAGCAAAGTTGGGAGCATTTTATGACGTCAAGTGTGTTTCAATAAGAGTGAGTCCCACACCAGTGTGGTAAACACCATTTCACACAATTTTTGTTATAATTTTAATTATATTATACAGTCACATATTTTTATCAACCATATTTCATCCTACAATCATGTAAAGTAAAAATAACCCTCTTGTTTAAGTGATGTTCTCTGACCAAACCTGTCAAAGAAAAGAAACAGTTTATGTATTAAATGGACTGTAACATACTGCAGACAGTGACAATTCAAATTATTGCTTTGTCATGGTTTATTTATAGCATCAGTCTTATATTGAAGCTGTAACGCTGAAATAGTGGTACAGTTAGCAAATATATCACCTATATACTAGCTTTCACATACTGTCAGGTTGGACTGTTTAAAACTTGTAGGTGATGATCTGTCATTTCTAGAACTCATTAATAATTCATGAGGTATTAGTCCAATGAGCATCAAACTATTGGAAAGGGTCACATGATGGGCCTATATATCCCCATAAAGCACTGATGTTTTATTAATCAGTTCTATATCAGATATACATAAAGAACTGATGTTCAAGGTCATCAGCGCTTTATCGCAACCCAACACTAGCAGAGGTCTCAGTTTTAATATCGCACCATAGACCTTTGCTAGGTTTTTTAAAACCTGATTTTTTAAAAGCTGATTTAAAAATCAGTTTGAATCAATGTGCAGACAAGCAGTATAGCATAGACTAGCCGTTCTTACGTGTGGGATCAAAATTCTTTCAATTGTGGAAAATGCACACCATGCTCAGTAGAAGTTTAATATGCATAATCACAGTTTTTGCATTTTTAGCTTTTTTCTAAAACAACACCAATTTCTGGATGCTGGAGTTCTATAAGTAGTAAGAAAAACTCGTTGTCGTGCTTTATCGGGGATATAGACACCTCCCAATAAAGCACTCCTGTTCATTTTTTAAACACTACGTATACAAGCCATTAACATCCATTGGTTGCCTTTTAATCCTTTCCTCCACAATCAACTTCCTAG